ATCCATTCTCAAATAATCTCTTACTAGTAAGGACGTGGTATATGTCCTCTAACCAGTGGTTCGCCGCCAAATGGCACCGCAAGATAAACGGTTAAGACCCCGGGCCCTCTGAACCGAGTGGTTTTGCCGTCAAATGGCACCACAGATAGCGGTTCCTTGGTGGCGTCAAATCCTTGAGATATGAATCAATAGGATATAATCGATAGGGCATAAAGCCCTCTGTTAGCTAAGGTGGATTCAAATTTGTCCCATTAGACAAACATTCACCCCATGTCTACAAGGTCCCCTTGGACGAAGCAACCGATGGCTGCCGATAAGGATCCTTCTGTCAGGTTGGGTCGACTACCTCCTCTGACTAAGTAGACCAGGGACCACGATGGCCAGGGACAACGGAACCATAGGATCTTGATCGGGTCTATCATTAATTCCCCCACCATCCGCTTTAAGTGCAAGATGATGCAATTTCTATTTTAAATATCAAATCTTCCAACTCTCCAATTCTCTAACCATTTCCAAATTCCAAACCTAATGCTGCTACTATATGCCAGATAATACGTATCATCTACGTATCTATTTGACGACTAGCCTTAATCGAAAGTTCTCTCTCGTTATCTGGAGGGGTAATTAACTATAGGGGCTTGCGCCTATAGGAAACCAGAACTCAAATCATAAAGTCCTCGCAAAATGAGGGCGAAATCTCTGGGTAGTTTCTTATCTACAAACCGATCTGTCTTCCCAAAATTTACCCCGGAACTTGTTCCGTTAAAACTCCCCTCGCCGAAAGATAAAAGCACAAAATCAAGTCACGCGGCGGGGAGGCCGGGGCCGAATTTTCGGAGCCCACATAACCATGGAGTGATTTCATATTATGTTTTGGGAGTTTGCTGAATTTAGTGTATTCTTAGGTTATTTGGGCTTTAGCCGGCGACCAGAGATTTGGGAGAGCCGAATCTTTCTCTCCAACTGAAGATCCAATTGTATCTTGCATTTCTCTTTATAGTTCTTTCAATAAAAATTGCTCAGGGACATTCTTCTCAATTTTTTGTGTTTCATCCACTGATTTTTTTGAAAAGTGCGTCCACTTCCTATCACTCGATTATCTTGGCAATCTATATAGATGACATTTCACTAATGGAGAGCAACTAAAAAAGTGATTAAAGAAGTAAAACATTATATTTTAAAAAAAAAATTCTAACTAAAGATTTGGGGGTTGTCCCTTATACTTTTTATAAATAAAATTTGCCAACAAAAAAAAAGTTTTCTGGTCTCAAAAAAAAATGTCACTGACTTTCTTGAGAAAACTGGTCACCTTTTCAGGGACAATAAGAAAAAATTCTGCAAGCACATAGCTTTGGACATACGCCTTTCCAAAGCAAAGTGAACCCCTCAATAACTTGAGTAATCAAGAAACTAGTATTTTAGGTTGCAAACGCTAATTCTCAATTAACACTCATATTGCTACTACTAAAGAAAATTTTTAGCTCATTATCATAGGCTGGCAGGTAAATTAATCTATCATGTTGTTGATATGATAGAAATCTCCTTTGTAGTAGGAGTTATGAATCAACACATGCAAGTTCTCAAATAGAAATATAAGCAAGTTATTATGGGCATCCTCAAACATATAAAAACAACACTATAGAAAAGACTACTATACAGTAAGAATGGCATCTCAATGTTGAACTCTTTTTTGATGCAAACTATGATGGATAAATTGATGATAGATAATCCATACATGATTATTGCATATTTATGGGAGTTAACTAAGCCACATAGAAGAGTAAGAAATAAACTGAAGTGGCCAAATTAAGTGTCGATATAGAAATGTAGATTTATGGTACAATCTATATATGTAATGATGTAGGTAAAGGCCATCCAAAGGGAATTCAAATTTTTAATGGCACAACAAATGATCTTAAATTGTGGCAAGTGTCATTATATACATCAAGGTTTAACAAGGCGAAATAGGGCATCGAGGTGTTTTGCCTTAGCAAAGCGAGGTATAAGCCTCGAGTCGGATCGAGGCGTAAGCATCAAAACATGAAAATTAAAGTACTAAAAAAATTATAAATAACTCATAAAATATTATAAGGATCTTATCTCATCATGATTTGGTTCCAAGTGTCATGATGATGTGTGCGCCAAATTTTTACAAAATATAAAATGAATTTTTCGCTACTGATTCATAAAATACTGTAGCTACTAGCCCAACTAAACACTGAGTGGGAACATTTCTAGGCACAGTAAACAAATTCTCATAAAAGGGTATCAATTGCATCATAAATGAAAGAATGGGCATTCAAGCATCTAAACAAAAAAAAATCCAATCAACAAGGAGATATTGATTTGTAAACTAATAATTAGGATCACGCCCACAAGCTGCAGCTAAGGCAAGGAGCAAAGAGATATTTGATTTCTAAACTAATTTCATAATTGCTTCTCATGAAGTTTTCGAAGCCTACACGGGCTCGAAAGGGAAGATAGATCTTTAACTTGTCACGAAGAACTCATCCTGACACAAAGCAAGGCCGAAGAAGTCTAGACAGAAGTAGTCAAGGCCGAAGCTGGCAAGGTCAAAGTTGTGCACATGAAGCCGAGAGAGTGTTTCCTTTGCTGCGAGATGCAGAAAGGGGTGAAGATTGGAACAAATGTTTCGACCCGACAAACCCTAAATCTAAATCTAATAGACGCTCTCAACTCTTCCGAACGGAAAACAAAAATGAAATTGATCGAGACAGCGCCTCCAACTGCCTTAAGGAGTATGCCTCAATGAAGAAAAGCATAAATCTCGGATGAACCGCCGAGGCTTAAGCCTTGAGGCGTCCAAGGTGCGCCTCAAATCAAGGCGTGCACCGAGGTGTACACCTGAAACACCTATATCATGATATATATTAATATTAATCTTGTTTTCCATTAAAGAAATAAGCATGTAGAGGTTGGCTTCCACTTCATTCAAGATGTGGTGTTATAAAAGAAGATTGCTACTTCTCATATTTCTAGCTCATTACAGCTAGTGGGTATATTTACCAAGTTTTGGGACTTACTTCAATTCTTTAAATCATGCAACAAGCAAGAGTAAATTGAATTCGTGAACTGGAACATTAAATTCAACAGTTTATAATACATCAGGCTACTATCCAACATGTCAATTGCTCATAGCATACGGAAATGTTATCAGACTTCGCAAAAGCTCCGGCTGACCTCCCATCTTCGAACTGCACTCTGCATCATTTTGTCTTGAGGCGAACAAAAACAAACCTATTAATGACGGAGAACTTATGGAAATCCAAGTAGAATAACTCCACATCCAACGAAACCCCAATCAGGTCAAACCAATAGAATTAGGGCAGAATGAAAATCGAACAAAATTTTGATAAAATAAATGAAAGCAACTAGTAAAAACGCATCAATAAGATCCAGACCAGGGAAACCCACTCATCCGCTCGAAAGAAAAAAAAAACTATTAGATAGACAACAAAAACAGCGATCGATTCAGGTACCTGAGGAATCTTGGAATCGACTGCGAATTCGACAAACATTTAGCAAAACTTATTCGAGAAACAAATTTGCAGCCGAGGGGCGACGCGCAGCTCGTTGCGGAAAAGGAATCGGGACCGATTCCCAATGATATTTTTGGTTAAGGATTTAAATGGGCTCGCGCTTTGGTTTTCATTGGGTTCGAATTTTACTTCGACTCAGAGTCTTCAAGGAAGAAAAACCTCTTGATAAGTTCAAATAAGTATATATTAAAGAAAAAGTTAGTAATATGTATATATATGACATCCAACTCAACTTTAATGTTGAAAACTCTGACTATAACAAACTTCGTGATGGACCGAAGACGAGAAAGTCTTTACATAAATCCCGCTCGAGAGGAAACGAACAGGTCGTAATGAGGTCTTACTGTCATCAATGGGTCTCAGAGCTTAAAAGAGTGGATCTATTCAAGGCTTAGGCATCATTTGGGGCGGCTTTCTTGTTACTTCTTAAAGTAATTTTTTAGTACAAAAATTAAATTTTTTATACTCAAAAACTACTTTATGAGACAGTAAGAAAGTCGTCCCATAGGAAGCTGAACTAACTCACATATATTCTTCCAATTCTCTCCAATATTATATAAGATTATTAATATTTAACTCACATGTAGAAAAATGATACATCAACATATAATTTAATCTTTGTTTGAACATTATAAATCACATAAGAATATGGTTTGATCATATTTAAATATTGATCAAACCGTGTTCGAATATTTTCTAATCAATATTTCAATTTTATCTAAAGACATGATTATATCTTATTTAAATCACCTTGTTAAAATATGTGCAAGAATTATGTTTGAATCTTATTCAAATCATGATTGTATATTTGAACTTGGTCAAGCATGGATCTTAGAACATTATTGGAATGATTATGAGGCACGAACTTCTCTTTGAGTATGTTCGAGCAATATTTGATCAAAGTTTGAACAAAATCAGAATATAATTCGAGTGCACATTTTAATAGTGATCAAAACACTTACTTTTAATATTTTGTCTAGTTTTGTATTAGAGTTATGTCAAAATGATAAATTATTATGTGTGGTCGCCGAATCATCCTAAGGCGAATCAGAATACGTCACGTCATCCGACGGACCGACACATAACGGTACAAAGCACAGGTACACACAAAAAAGTAATGTAATCTTCAAAATGACTTAATATATGATACACAATAAAAAATGTCAAAACATAATACTCTTCCATAACATGGAGCTAAAATTTCCTTTACTAAAAACTTAATCAGAATGAATAGATAAGTTCTCCTCAAATAAACTCATAATTAAGCTTTTAAAAATCCGAACAAATCATCATTTTCCCGTGCAGACCGTTACTATTCCAAATTTTCCCGGAGTAGATCTCGCAACGACGACCATGATTAAAATATCCTGAATCCCATTCGCTCTCACAATAAATCTCCACTTCTTCTTCCTCCTCCTCCTCCTCTGCTCTTCATAAAAAATGGACGTTACATTCGAGACCGACGACGGCCGGCGCTTCCAAGAAGAAATCTGGTTCTTCTCTCCCGTTCGCGAAATCAAAGAAAAGCTTCACAAATCCCATGGCATCCCTGTCTCCCGCCAAACTCTCTGCTTCAACGGCATTATCATGGAAGACGAACACGACTTTGAATACTACAACGTCATTCAAGGCTCTGTCATTCGCCTTCATCTCCAGCCCGAGCCCGAGCCCGAGCCCGAGCCCGTGCCGGCGCCCGTGCCCGAGCCCGAGCCTAGCTATGGCCGTGGGAGAGGGTACGTGAAGGTGACGGTATTGATGCCGAGAGTGGCGATGGGAATCAAGAGGTTGGAGTTTGTGGTGAATTTAGATGATAAAGTGGGGGAGCTTAGGAAGGAATTGTTGAGGATGGAAGAGATGTATTATAGCATTAATTTTCCACCGGAAGGATTTTTCTTCATTCATAAAGGTAATGTGATGGAAGAAGACAACCCCTATTGGTGGCATGATGTGAAGGCCGGAGATGTTATTGAGATTTTTAGCGGGATTGTTACTCCAGAATATCACTAAAATCATTTGAAACTCTTAAGAGAAAATATTTGCTTATCTTCAAAACTTTTTTATCTCAGAGTGGATTCAATCCAAATTTTGACGAGTGATACATTATTTAGTCGTAGATTGTAAGGTGTAGTTCAAATGCATGAAGTTATTTTGATGACAAATTATTATGTGCATATGCCAAATGTCATCCGGAGATCAATCAAAATGAGCCACGTTGGTACCGCGCTTGGTATTGTTGACGTGGCTCATTCTGGTTGGTCTCTGGATTTAGAGCTGAGTTCGACGTCCGCACAGAATAATTTCTCCTATTTATGAGAGTTTTTTGGCTTCTTTGCTTTTCCGACATCAACCACAATTTCATTTGGCTATTACTTTCTTACTGATTTTTTAGAAATTTTTGTGATGGAAAGTTATTTTCTGTAAATGTGCATAATTATAAAGTTATTTTCTCTGCAATAACTTCATGACTAACTTTATAAGATACTGCAGTCATCCCAAATAGGCTTTTAGTGAATTTTTTTTTTTTGTGGGAAGTTTTGATTGAGATTGTGATTTGTTAATTTTTTTAGTAAGTTTGATATGAAAATAAAATTAAAGTATGAGCTATTTAGTTCAATGTAATCGGCATTGTTTTGTTATCTTCATACAATGTTATTATTCAAAGGCCATCTTCAATATTATTGTGCTTAAATAACCTAATATTATTTAAGAAAATGAAGAATGTTCATGATGTTACTTTTAAAATAATCTTTTAGTATCAAAATGTTATGTATTAAAAATTTTAGTACTAAAAAATAGTTTCAAAAAATAATAAGAAATTTGACCCAAACGAAATCTAATTGTCTTCAAAGTAGAATGGGAAGGCCATTCATTAAATTATTGCCTAATAATATTATTTAACAAAGTAATTAACATTTACTAATTAATGAAAAACAATCCTTACAAAGAGAAAGAGAAGCTTAAGACATTAATTTCTTTCTTAACTTGTTTGGGTATAACAATGAAGTAATAGTCATACCATAAATAAGAGGGTATAGTTGAGACAATTATTTGTAATATTTTTTGTTGTAGAACTATTATGGATATTATTATTTTTTTCCATCATAAAAATTAGATTTTAACTTTCTTAAAATTATCACATTATTAAATTCAATTGTGGAAATTTTCTCCATACAAAAATGCTTTATTTTAAAATTAGTAATTTATGTACATAAAATTTAAATTATTTATTATTTATATATTTAATATCTATATATATATGCCATCCAACACAACTCTAATGACGAATACCCTGACTATAACAAACTTCATGATGGATCGTAGACGATCAAGTCTTTACAGGAATCCCGCTCGAAAGGAGACGAGCAGGTTGTAATGAGGCCTTATCGGCATCAACGGGTCTTAAAGCTTAAATGAGTGGATCCATTCGAGATTAGGCTTCATTTGGGACGGCTTTCTTGTTACTTTTTGAAATAACTTTCTAGTAAAAAATTAAATTTTTATATTAAAAAGTTGCTTTATGAAGTAGTAATAAAGTTGTCCCAAACAAGCCAAACTAACTTGCATGTATTCTTCCAATTCTCTCCAATATTATATAAGATTACTAATATTTAATTCACCCGTAGAAAAATGATACATCAACATATAAATTAATCTTTGTTTGAACATTATAAATTACATTAGACCAAGGTTTGAAAATGTTTAAATATTGATAGAACCATGTTCGAATATTGTCTAATCCATATTTCAATTTTATTTGAAGACATGATTATACCTTATTTAAATCACCTTGTTAAAATATGTGCAAGAATTATATCGAACCTTATTCAAATCATGGTTGTATATTTGAACTTGGTCGAGCAAGGATCAAGAACATTGTTGGAATGAGGCACAAACTTGCCTTTAAGTATGTTCGAGCAAATAATCAATCAAAGTTCGAGCAAAATCCAAATATAATTTGTGCGCACATTTTAACAATGATCGAAATAGTTACTTTGACTATTTTGTCCAGTTTTGCATTAGAGCTCTATCAAAATGGAGAAATTATTCTATGCGGTCACAGAACCATCCGGAGACGAATCATAATGCGCCACATACTCGGTACACATAAAAAAATGACATGGGGCATCCTGATTCGCTTCATAACGGCGTCTGACGACCACTTAATAAAAAATGTCAAAATATAATATTCTTCCATAACATGGAGCTAAAATTTCCTTTACTAAAAACTTAATCCGAATGAATAGATAAGTTCTCCTCAAATAAACTCATAATTAAGCTTTTAAAAATCCGAACAAATCATCATTTTCCCGTGCAGACCGTTACTATTCCACATTTTCCCGGAGTAGATCTCGCAACGACGACCATCATTAAAATATCCTGAATCCCATTCGCTCTCACAAAAAAGCTCCATTTCTTCTTCTTCCTCCTCTGGTCTTCATCAAAAATGGACGTTACATTCGAGACCGACGACGGCCGGCGCTTCGAAGAAGAAATCTGGTTCTTCTCTCCCGTTAGCGAAATAAAAGAAAAGCTCCACAAATCCCACGGCTTCCCTGTCTCCCACCAAACTCTCTTCTTCAACGGCATGATCATGGAAGACGAACACGACTTTGAATACCACAACGTCATTCAAGGCTCTGTCATTCTCCTCCGTCTCCAGCGCGTGCTCGAGCCCAAGCCCGAGCCCGAGCCCGAGCCCACCAATGGCGGTGGGAGAAAGATGAAGGTGACTGTATTGGTGCCGAGGGTGGCGACGGGAATGAAGAGGTTGGAGGTGGAGGTGAATTTAGCTGATAATGTGAGCGAGCTTAGGAAGGAACTGTTGAGGATGAAAGAGCGGAGTTATAGCCTTTATTTGCCACCGGAAGGATTTTTCTTCATTTATAAGTGTAGTGTGATGGAAGAAGACAAGCCCTTTTGGTGGCATGATGTGAAGGCCGGAGATATTATTGAGATTTTTAACGGGAGTGTTACTCAAGGATAGCGGTAAGATCATTTGAAACTCTTGGGAGAAATTTTTTGCTTAGAATATTATGATCAACAAAAGTTTTTTATCTCAGAGTGGATTCAATCCAAATTTTGATGAGTGACACATTATATTGTCGTAGATTGGAAGGTATAGCTCAAATGCATGAAGTTGTTTTGATTGTTTATGCATTTAGGGTCTTTTTAGGGAGAAATTATTATATGCGGAAGCCGAACACCATTCGGAGGCTAACTAGAATGAGCCACGTTGGTACCGCGCTTGGTATTACTGACGTTGCTCATTCTGGTTGGTCTCCGGATGTAGAGCTGTGTTCGACATCCGCATAGAATAATTTCTCCTATTTATGAGAGTTTTCTGGCTTCTTTGCTTTTCAGACAGCAACCACAATTTCATTTGGCTATTACTTTCTTACTGATTTTTAGAAATTTTTGTGACGGAAAGTTATTTTCTCTGCAACAACTTCATGACCAACTTTATAAGACGTTGTAGTCGTCCCAAATAGGCTTTTAGTGATTTTTTTTATTTTTTATTTTTGAAATTTTTTTTTTTTTGGGAAGTTTTGATTGAGATTGTGATTCGTTAATATTTTTAGTAAGTTTGATATAAAAATAAAATAAAAGTATGAGCTGTTTAGTTCAATGTAATCTGCATTGTATTGTTATCTTCATACCATGTTATTATTTAAAGGCCATCTTCAATATTATTGTGCTTAAATAACCTAATATTATTTAAGAGAATGAAGAATGTTCATGATGTTGCTTTTATTTGTATTTTTTTAATATTAAGCAACTTGAAAATTAAGGCTTTGATTGGGACAAATTTCTTATTGTTTTTTAAAATAATCTTTTAGTATCAAAATTTAATGTATTAAAAATTTTAGTACTAAAAAACAGTTTCAAACAATAATAAGAAATTTGTTTCAAATGAAATCTAAATGTCTTCAAAGTAGAATGGGAAGGCCATTCATTAAATTATTGCTTAATAATATTATTTAGCAAAGTAATTAACATTTACTAATTAATGAAAAACAACCCTTACAAAGAGAAAGAGAAGCTTAAGACATTAATTTCTTTCTTTAACTTGTTTGGGTATAACAATGAAGTAATAGTCATACCATAAATAAGAGGGTATAGTTGAGACAATTATTTGTAATGATTTTTGTTGTAGAACTATTATGGATATTATTATTTTTTTACATCATAAAAATTAGATGTTAGCTTTCTTAAAATTATCACATTATTAAATTCAGTTGGGGAAATTTTCTTATAACAAATTTTCTAAAATAATAAAAAATTATAATCAAATAAAAATATGATAATTATCTGTAAAATTAAAAACACACTTAAAAAAAAGATTAGGTGTATTATAATTGAAAATTTGGTGCAAATGGAAATATTACATATATAAGCATAGAGTTTACGACAATGTGTACATTATTTTTTTTCGTCCAAGTAGATCAATCTCTAATTAGATTTCCAAAAAAAAATTAGCTATAAATATAAATTAAGCCGACATGTTGTTCAATTATTTATAATTAGTGTCCCAAACTTTCAACCATCAAAATATTGTTCACTTTATTAAAATGGTCTCATAATTTTATTCCCTTAATTTCATTAATTCCTAGAGGCCAGTTCACCATCCTAAGAGTGCTCCCATACAAAAATGCTTTAATTTAAAATTTTTAATAAAATTCTAATTGATACACCAAAATATGATATTTAAAAATTCAATGTTATTCATCTTAAGGGTTTTAGAATCTCCCTCATTTAAATAGCTTGCACCTTCAACAATATCCTTATATATAACCCATGCAAATCATCCACTAGGTAGATACGATTATGAAAGCAATGTTTGACATGTGGCTCCCATGACATAGCACTTTGCCCTGTATGACAGTTCCAATCTGGGTAATTTTTAAGGCTAAGCATGATTAGAACTGTAATTAATATAATAAGCATAATTTTTAAAAATTTAAAGCTAGGCATAATCGCCCGTTTAACAGACGATTATGTTTAGTTTAAATCGTCCTCATAACAGGCAGTTTACTAAAGATCAAAGTCGCCCGTATAAAGGGAGACTTTGGCCTGTTTAAAATTGATGGCCTAAGCCCTAGTACCCATCCCGACTCACTGTTTGCCCTCTCCAGTTCTGTCAACCGTCACTCTTCACTGCCAGATTTTGCTATTTTAGGTAAGTTTGTATGTATTTTTTTGTTAAAAATTATATTTATTTATTCCTTTCCTAAATCCTAAATAGAAGGTAGAATAAGAAAAAAAAAAATAAAGAAAGAAAATGCACCATGTAAAAGTGTAGAATGAGGTGGTTTTAGGTGATGAGTTATGATTTTGAAACTTCCACTTATGAAGTAATTGGTTGCAAATATTAGTGGTGTGAGTAAACAAAATACATGAGTTATGATTTTTTATATGTTTGATATCAAGTCAAATAAATGTGAAGCAATTTTTAGAGAAATTAGCATTCATAAAAGCCCGTCGCCCTTGATTGTGCATCGACTTTGTAAATTTGCATGAGTTAAAAAATTTTGATATTTATTGTTGAATGCTTCCCATTTGTTTCAGAGTCGTGTATGTTGTGACTTAAATTTTTTCATTTTGTAATACCCGAATTATTTATATAAAAATATATATCTTTAACAAAAAAGGAATATTATTATTATTTTGAAACTTCCACTTATGGACTAATTGTAAAATATATGTAATATAAGTATTACTTATTTTTGTTAAAACAAATGTTGATAATTAAATCATTATTTATTTGTATTAATAATAATTATTTAATTTTAATAGATATCATATAATTTCAGATATTGTTAGTAAATAAAAATAAAATAACTCTAAATTTTGTGTTAACTTTTTTATGGAATTATAAGAAATATTAATATTATAATTTATAACATTTATATTTAACAAGTTGATGATATATTAGCATAGTGAAATATTATTAATTAAAATTTTATTGGAACGTAGTGTGAAATGTTGTGAAGTTCACGATTATATAGATGAAATAAATATATCGTTTGAAATTTAAATGTAGGTATTCAAAATGAGTGCACGACCACCATTTTTTATGTTGTTATATGACAGAGAGTTATCATTAGATGGTAATTTTTTGCCAACATATATTAGTGGTAAATGTCTCAGCCCCTACAAGTTTCATTCTACGTACTCGACTTTGAAGCAGTTGAAGGATCAAGTTCTCAAGGCCCTGAAGTTCAATCCCTCAAAGTTCGTGGTGACCATTGTGGGTCGTTTTCCAATGGGCAACCAATTAATGGCCTCGAAGCTTGAGGAAGATGAAGGTTGTGAATTTACATTATCATTTGCTACTTTTGAAGTTTTGATTATGTATGTGAAGGTTGAGGAAATTCATAGTGATATTAATTTGGATGAAGATCTGTCGAGTCAAATTCTTGGTTTAGTCGTACTAGATCATGTACATGAGATGCATGTTGCTGTAGAAATAGCCTTGGTAATCCTAAGTACACATCTAGGGTATGTTAGTTGTGAAGGAAGTAATTAATTTTCTAAAATAAAATTTTATTCATCGCTATCTAATTTTATATAATTATAAATACATACCCACACCAATTTCATACCAAAAGAATTTGGTCGGTCCTTCTACACAATCCTAGCCTACTTCTATTTTTGAAGTTAATGATATTAGATTATATGCTCATACTATCAATGATGAAGGGTACGAGACAATGAGTAGTGGTTCAAGTGATGATGGGGATGAAGAGTTTGATGATATCCTCCACGATCATGCTGTAACGAATATTGGTGTTCAGCCAAATACCATTGATTTTATTCGTGACTACTGTATAAGGACTACAAATACATAAGAGAGAATGACATCTAATAATGAATATGCTGAAATTCTTTTAAGAGTACACGTCAGTGGAATGCGAAGGTTGCATCTGATAGTAGTAATGTTCTTAACATTACAGATAATGAATTTATCATTCTGAATGAATTGGTAGAGCATATGTGTTTCCACAGAAAATTTGAACTACAATTTGCCTTGCACGGTTGGTCAATTACAAATAATGTTCAATTTGTCGTTGTGGCTCAAACAAACAAAATCTAAATAGGTGCTAGATGACCCACCCCCCCCCCCCCATTTCTGAAATCTCTTTTGTAGAAATCTACAACTTGTATCATTTGAACATGCCATCCTTCTCATCACAATGATTCATAGCTTCGATGTATGTTTGCCATAAAAGCATTTTTCATATTATCAGAATGTATGCAACAACGATAAATATATTTGTTATTGCCATCTCTTCTAACCCCTCATCAATGAAATGCGTTAAGCATTCCTCATCGAGCACTGCCCTCCATAATCATTCACTTAAAAGGGATTTTGGGAGTCCTATACTTTCCTTCCCTCTATCGATCGTTGCCCTCCATAATTGTTTGCTTAGAAGGATGAAGGATGTCCTCTATTTATATGAGCATTGAAGAAGATATATTAATTATAATATGTTATCAACAAAGACTATCTGATAAGACATGATTTGACATCTCAGACTGATGTGACAATACATAGTGATGTTATAACAAAAGCTGATTTACAAGACATATTGATGAGACAACATATGTATATTTACTTTTACCATATGATTTCATAATTACAAACTATTTCAACTTTAAGATGTTATTAACAAAAAAAATTAAGAAAAAGTTATGTTCTCATTTCGATAACCATCTTTTTATATCACATTAAAATTCACAACACAAAATATTATAAGTAAGAAGAAGTATTCATCATTTATCAACATTATATAATATATTATATATAAATTCATAAGGAACCGAATACATAACAAAGAAAAACACTTAGAAACGCTTCGTGCTAAACAAGAAAAATAGGGCGATAATAAATAAATATTTTTACGTACATAACATTTATAAGACTACATAAGTTTCCTATTTCTTAATCAACATATGAAAACCTGGTTGTAGTTATGCCTGAGTTGGACAATATTTTTGCTTGAACTATAACTCAAACTGAAGGTCTTGCTAGTCGTCAATATTGAAGAGCTCTCTAAGGTTACCATCAGGTAATATCTCATTCATCCGCTCTTTATAAAAATCCATAATGAATTTATCTTTCCGCGGAGACCAATCACTATATAAAATTATATGCTCAATATCAAGATGGCTACAGTAAATATCAGGAGGGGAATGTTCACTATCTATGTGGTGTTTCATCTCATGGTACCACATCTATAAAAAATGAGGGCTTACATGATGACCATTAACTTTCCGGAATCTAATTTAAAGAGATATCCAACCGGCGGCATTTAAGAATTCTCTTGTCTTTTAAAGTTTTACCCTAATTAACTCGGCATGCATATTCGAGAGGCAATCCTCCTCATCTTCCAACCATTCATGTACGCAACACCAAAATATCTCATTCTGATTAACCTTTTGCTCTAACGGACTATCACCGGCTCGTGCTATACAAGTATGCATTCTTCGACTTGCATCATCGAACCTTTCTTTGTTAGGGACGCCTATAATCTTTTCCATACATGGCCAAAATATTTTGAGTAACTCAAACAAGAACTCAACAACTATACTCAATGTGTCTACCATTCACCCTTTATATAAGCTGAGATTAAAGATATTCAACAAATACTAGCTGTCAAAAACCTCAATAGAACTTGAATTGACCAGACAACTTTACAGCTCATCTAATGTAATGTGTCATTGGAAGTTGAATCAATTGTCATTGCAAAATGATTTTGACAATATCAAGAAAACCTATGCTTTTAAATATATTTTTAAATAAGAGGGTTCCAATATCCAAAATTAGTGCATACAAATATTCAAAAAATATACCATATGGTTTGAATTTTTTTATAAAAATTATCTCTAAAGATACGCTACAAAAACTATATCGGGTTATTTAATTTTATCAATGCACAATTTATAATTTCTAAAGAAATTAAATGAAATATTCCCTTTACAACTTCTATCAATGCATTAATTATTAATTATATCACCTAGCCTAAACAATCTAAAACTATTAAAAAAAATTGGACAAGGATAACTCACACATTTAAATTTAACTTTTTTTTTAAATCAAGACAGGCCAAAATCGCCAGTTTGACGGGCGATTTAGGCTTGGTATTTTAATCGCCCGTTTGCCTAAATCGCCCGTCAAACGGGAGATTATTCCTAATCACCTAATCGCCCGTTAAACGGGGGATTATGCCTACTTTTAAATTTTTAAAAAATAATACTTAATATCCTAAAAATTGCCCTCCAATCTTTCAGTTGGCTTATTGCTTTAATAATGTTTATAATAACTCGAACTCTCAATCATCTAGTTATCATAAATACTAGTTATATCGATAATAAAATACTTAATAATTTATTATAACATATAAAATATGTATGCATATTTGTAGTATATTTATAAGTTAGTAAAACCCTTTTAGATATTGGCTAGTCGAGTTAGGAGCTTCACAAATAGATGACTCGTTTAGGAATCATTTGATTTTTTATCGGTTCATGCATATATTAATGATTCAAAGTATCATAATATAATTAATAATAAATATATAGAAATATAAAGATAATATGATGGAAGATTGATGAATCATCTTTTGTTCTTATTTTAAATACATATACATTTTCTATGTTTTATTATACACATCTCATGCTTACTATAGGTTGACTTTGAGTTTGTTAAGCAAACGGGAGATTAAAACAAAGTTGCAAAATTTATATGTGACTAGAAAGTTTGTCTTCCACCTATTAGAGTATTTGTTAAAAGTGATCACATATTTTGGTGCCATTTGGCATTGATTTATATGAGCATTTAGGGAAAAATAGAAGTCTTAGAAAGACAATATTGTCCTCTAATTGTATTTCATTGATATTAAACATTTTGTAAACTTATCATTAATTAATAAATACTTTAATAAATGAAAAATCATCAATTGATTGGCAAATGTGATCAAATTTGAATTGTAATTTGCATATGCCAAATGTTAGTTAAAATATTCAAAGAAAGTAATTACTAATAATTAACATTCAAAGCTGAATTCATTTTCAATGGCTAGTACAAACACAATTGATTCCAACCATCCAAAATAGATTGAGGTTTCATTTAAGAGAGCTTTCTTACTGCTTTGCTTTTTAAAACGCAATCATATTTTTTATTTGATCATTATTTCTTTATTGCTTTCTATAAATTTTTGTTTTAGGAAACTGCTTTCTACAAAACGTTTTTAAAAAGTTATTTTTCCACAGCAACTTTACAACAATCTTTTGTTGACCTCCACGGCATAAAAAAAAGATATAAAAAAAATACATGCTGAAGCTGATGCCCATACCCAAATCCCGCTCAAGTCGCATCCGCCATCTACTACAGTAATGTTACAAGATAATGTTAACATCATCTATGAGCCATATACCATGAAAAGATATAATGTTGGCCTAAAATTTACATTGAATTTTTTGTTCCTCTTCTATTTAAATATTATATAACATGTTAGGAATATATAACATTAACTATACTTAACTCTTTTGTAACATGTTGAAAATATAGCATAACATCTAAGTAACCATATAAAGTGCAAGTTTTGTAGTTCTTCTGTAATATTATTTTAGCGTATGTTGTTTGCTTCCACATATTGATTAAGCTTTCATATAACATCAACATCATCTCTAAATCATGAATCATCAAAAGATGTAACATTTGCTGAAAATTGCCTCATGCTCCTCAGCTTCGCTTGCATACAAACATCACATATGTTTAAAATGTAGCTATTTCATTTGGCAAAAGTTTTGGAAAACCAACAATATTATCTGCAGTAAAAAATAATGAAATTTGACACTCAGATCAAGAGATATATGAACAGAAAGTTCACATCACATAGAGATAAACAAATCATGATTGTTAAGAGAAAAGAAAATTCTGAAATGTTTTTGCTTTTCTTTTTCATTTCCAAGGTTTAACAATTGTGAGAACAATGATGGCAGCAACAATTAGAAATAAGATGATGGCTATCATCATACATTTTCTTGATTTCTTCTGCAGGCTCTTTGCAATTTGAAGAGCTTCTGTTCCACTCTGTACATGGTTCACTGCATTTGCGACCTGGAAAAAAAAATTCAGTTTGATGATAATTATAATTTTGAGAAAGAAAATTTGTTGAATTCATATTGAACAAATAGGTAACCGATTCTGTCATCCTAATCATTTTGATTAAGTATAAATCTGAGACACAAAATCTAAGTGAAAAAAAAAAAATTATAAGAATCATCTACCAATACAATTTAGGCTTCGTTTCTGACTATTTTTTTATTACAAAATTAAAATTTTTATACTAGAAAGCTGCTTTAAGAAGCAATAAGAAAGCTGTCCCAAACGAAGCCTAAATGCATTTTGTTATTTTATTGATCTCAACAAAGCATAGATTGAGTGGCAAACCTGGTTTTCAATATTATCTAGCAGTTCTCCTTGTGCTTCAACTAGAAGTGCCATGTCTGTAAATATCTGAAACACAAGATATTCCATAGAATTAACATAGTTTTACAGACAAACAATAATATCATATACATAGAATTACATCATAGCTTAAGAAGAGTAGAAGATGTTACAGTAACAATGAGATCAAATGCAAAATTAGAAGTAAATTTAGAAATCATTATATTATATTTGTGTAAAAATATTAAAAATAATAATAATACTTGTTAGAACACTCACAAATTATTCATAAAGCAACTTCAAAATAATCCAAATTTAGAGGGGAAGAAACCTGTTGCAGCTCGAGTAATTTCTTCTCAATCTCCATGACAGCATCATGCCTTTCTTGAATCTCTTCTAAGGCATCGACCACCTGAAACCATTGTCAGGCTATGAATAATTAACTTATTAAATCAGATAATCAGTTTCTCATTTCAGATGAATGTAAACCTGTCCTCTTCCCATTTCATTAATAGCCTTTTGAAAGATTTTCTCACTATCTCCAGTTTCAATCAGTTGGTCAATCATCTAGATAGGTTTTCACAGTTAAAAAACATAGATTAGAAAACAGATTTTGGAAATAGATAATATTGGACAGATTTGCCTTCATATAGAGCTCACCTCCTCAGTTGGCTTAGTCCCAGTTACTGCTCATTATAACATATAAAAAAGTTGTAAAAAATCAAACAAGTTTTTACTCTCAATAGTTTTTAATATAATATTTTGATAGCAATTGAGATCACTAACCTGTAAAGACCCTTCTCTCAATCACCTCCCTGTATTCATCTTGTATAGTTTGTCTTAGGATCTGTAAGTGAAGGTTCAGTGGATCTTAAACAGTTAATAAGAAGCCTTTATTTCTAAATTAAGCGATAAAAAGCTTGGATTAGAGAAGAAAATTAAGTACCTGAAAGTCATTCATGCTATCCTTCAACTTTTTTTTCAAGGAACTGCGATTAACCGAAGTCAGAGTGATAAAATACACAAACTAAACACCAAAATAAAATAAAATAAATCAGAACTTTTGGGTTGAATTTGTCTGGAATCTTACACTGTCATGGACAATCTTGATCGATCAACAGCTGTTCCTTTTTCACAACCTGGTTTCTTCCGGTTGAATAAATTCTAGAAATGAAATGGAGAAGAAAAACCAATTGGTATTCGAATAAAAAATATATTTGTATAGGATGGGACTATTTTTATTACACAATGTCATTAATTTCATGCATTGTGTGTTATCCCTCAATGCATCTAAATTATTAAACAATATAATTAAACTATTAGACAAATAAAACTAAATTAGTAGACAATTCAATTGAAATAGCAAGCATTCACAATAATTTTTCTATTATGATCATACTTGTGAATATCTACCTATTTATAAGTTATCTTGTATGATGGTTTAATTGCATTAGTTATATTTGTCTAATAATTTAGGTACATTATCGGATAATTTAGGCTTCGTTTGGGATGACTTTCTTACTGCTTGTTAAAGCAGTTAGAAAGCCATCCCAAATGAAACCTTAATCATATAAAAATAGCTCAATGTTGATACTAATTATATCAGTATATCATAACATAACATTTTTCTATTAAAACACTAAGGCTTTATTTGGGACGGCTTTCTCACTGCTTCTTAAAGTCGTTTTTTAGTACAAAATTAAAACTTTTATACTAAAAAGTTGCTTTAAGAAGCTGTAAAAAATTCATCCCAAACGAAACTTAAATATATTAGTAATTTTCGTTATTAGAAAGAATTCTTACATCTTGATCAATTTCTTCCAACTTCACTTTGATTGTGCGTGAGATTTTTCCCACTTCATCCATCTCTTTATGCATTCTTTTCTTGATTGCTGGAAATGAATTCAAACTCAGTAGTAATAATTCATATTGCAAAAGATGAAGAACAATAGGGTTATGCTACCTACCTTTCATTGCAGAGGCTTTGGTGATAGACTTTGTCTCCTCATTGGCTTCCTGAAATTATTTAAGTATTTAAATTTTTAACTAAAAAGTTGCTTTAAGAAGCAGCAAGAAAGCCATCTCAAATAAAATCTAAAATTGAGCTAGATGTATCAATAGTCAAATTCTTGTTATAATTTGGGTTGTCAATATTTTTTTAACAATCTAATGCCAAGCTGATACCTAAAATATCGCATGTCTTAACATTCATAGATGATGTAAGCATGAGATGAGAACAAGAGAGACTGTTAAGGCTCATTTCCTAGAGAGATTATTTTGTGCGGACACCGGACGGGAAGAACCGTCTTGTTGTGTCTCTGTGGACAGTAAAAGCGCAGATAAATTGGATGGTTCTCCCCATCCGGTGTCCGCAGAGAATAATTCATCCTTTTCCTAAGCTTGTAACAAGAGATTACTGAAAGTTCTGAGCATACCTGAAGCTTCTTCAGATTCATAGTGAGTTTCTCCATCAAATCCTCAACCTCTTTTACCTAATACAATGTAGTAAAGATGCAAAATGTTAACATAGTTAAGAACTTTGTACAAAAAGCTCAAAGAAAATCATGATTTGATTAAATGTTCTAATTATGAGAAGCGTTGCTGAATTTTGGTACCTTTTTGAAAAATTCTTCCATGCCATAATCTGATTTGATACTTTCCACTGGAATTCCTATCTCAATATCTAACCCACCTGGAGAAGATCTATGTCTAGAAGCTGCAGAAGAATCCTACAAAAGAGGAGAACAAATGTTAATATCTAGAGCTAGCTAGTCTTTATTGTGCCTTAATCATGATTTTTCTTTGTTAAATTCTCAATTATCATCCATTAAGTTGATAATAAGTCTCATCAGCATCCTCCAGGAATCCATATTTCAAGTAATCATCTTTCATAACGAGCCGTTGTGATTACAATTTTTCATCCAATATTTACAAAGTTTCAGTATTCAAACAACAGAACCAAATCAAACGGAAAAGAGAGCAAAAATTGCTGCTCTGAGATCCTCTAATTAGTTCCAACAACATTTTAACGTTGGAGATAAACAGCTTATAATTACAGAAGAATCAAATCAAAGTCGTTAAAATAAAACATGCAAGAAATGTAAAAGCTAAAATTAAATTTTAGAAGCACAAGGGAAATGAAAGCTAGTTTTACCTTCAGAAGGTCGTTCATTGTCGCTCGCTCTTTTGCAGTCTGATTGAGGAGGAACTGAGAGCAGAGAAAGAAAGAGAGGGAGGAGCAGAGATGAGAAACTGAAGGGAAGATACCAAGAAATTTTAAAAGCCAAATAGAAAGGATAGATATAAGGCCGGCCGGCCAGCAAGAGCCAGTTCAATTGCTTAGGCATCTAGTAATGAAGGAGGACCCAAATTCACCCGTTAAATTTGCTTTAAAATGTGTGCTACACATGATTAACCAGCCAAAATTAAAAAAAATAATAATGATCATCATAAAACTTATGCAAAATTTTCTCTGGAACAAAGGCTCATTTGATCCTAAACCTTCCTCTTTCTGAATAATCTGTCGTGGAAATCTTCCATCATGCTCTCTATCCTGCATTCTAATCAATCCATGGACAAATTTAAAAAAAATATTTTTTCATCTTGATACGTCATCCAAAAATTATCATGAGGCACAAATCTCGAGGCAAAATCAAATTGGAAACTTCCAAAATTAAAATTGGAACCATCTGAACTCCGACTTCAGTCAACTTATAGTCGAACTCAGCGTCTCGGAAATATGAACTCAACGACACCAAATTCAACTCATTCCGAGCCCAAATAAGTCCAAATCAAGGACCCGAAGCACTGTTGGAAGATTTGAACCATAATTTGGGTTATCTATCGGTTTTTAAAAATGGCGTGCTTATAGTCGAATCGAGCGGCTCAACGAGACGAATCCAAAGAGCTCAAGATCGCTGAATTCAGACATCATTAAGATCTTCAAATGTCTGACGAACGGTCAACAATCAAGGGATTCAATATCGGCCGTCCATCCAACCACTCCCCATTTACTTGATCTCTCGCCTATTTACGGGCCATGCCACTCCCGAAATCTATAAATATACCACTCATTTCTCTTGAAAAAGGATCGGAGCAAGAGGAGAAGAAGAGAAGGAAGAAGCTCCTCCTCGACCACGGCCTGAGTTCTGCCAGACCATCGTCTGACGTCGTTGCTCCGCCGAACAACCACTTGAGGCCCGGACTTCCGCCGGACTACCACTTGAGGCCCTGTGCTCCACCAGGCCACCACTTGAGGCCCGGACTTCTGCCGGACCATCACTTGAGGCCATGTGCTCCACAAGACCACCACTTGAGGCCCTCACCTCCGCCGGACCACCGCCTGACGTCGTTACTCCACCGGACCACCACTTGAGGCCCTGAGCACCGCCAGACCACCACTTGAGGCCCTAAGCTCCGCCAGACCACCACTTGAGGCCCTCACCTCCGCCGGACCACCACTTGAGGCCCTCACCTCCGCCGCACCACCGCCTGACATCGTTGCTCGCCGGACCACCACCTGAGACCCGGACTTCCATCGGACCACCACCTGAGGCCCGAACTTCTATCAAGACACCACCTTATGCCCAGAATTTTACTAGAGTACCATCCTACTACAACGGTCTTTTGGACCACTGTCTACTGCCGACTATGATCCTTCCGACCTCCGTCGCCTACTACGGTCTTTCCGACCTACATCGTTAGACAACAGTCTTTCTAACCCCGGTCTCCTGGCAACTACGGTCTTTCGGACCCCTGTCTCCTGCCGACTACGGTCCTTCCGACCTCCATTCCCTACTATAGTTCTTCCGACCTACATCACCAGACAATGGTCTTTCTGACCTTGGTCTCTTGCCAACTACGGTCTTTCAGACCCCTGTCTTCTGCCGACTACGGTCCTTCCAACCTCCATCACTAGACAACGGTCTTTCTGACCCCGGTCTCCTGCCAATACGGTCTTCCAAACCCCTATCTCCTACCGACTACGGTCCTTCTGACCTCCGTCACCTACTACAGTCCTTCCGACCTCCATCGCCAGACAACAGTCTTTCCGACCTCTATCCTATCGACTATGGTCAAGCCAACCAAACAAACACATATATATCATAATTCTCACAATGTTATGTGATTTATATGATGTATATTTGTACCATCAAGCCAATGCCTTCTTCCAAGGGAACAATTATTACGTCCTCGGACCGGACGTGGAGGAACGTCCGGTCGAAGGCAAATTCCCGCCAAAAAGCGAGTTGTACCGAGCAAATACCTAGCAATACCAAACAATAACGAAGAATACCATCATTTGAAGACCCAATACCGAGTTATACCGGGCTTTATCGAGCAAATACCGAGTTATACCAAAGTTGTACCGAGTTTTTCCCATAAAAACTTGGTACAACTCGATATTTCTCGTTACAGCTCGGTATAACTCGGTATTGGTCTTCATAGAACGGTATTCTTCATTATTATCAAATAATACCTAGTTGTACCGAGCAAATACCTAGTTTTTGGACGGGAAATTGCCTCCGACCGGACGTTCCTCTACGTCCTTGCACCGAACGTAATAAAAGTTCCTTCCAAGGAAGGGCCTCATTTGTAATCGACTGCAAATATTAGTGGATTCATTCAAACTGGGCCAGGCCCCGTGGTTTTTCCCCCTTTTTAGGGGTTTTCACATAAAAACTCTGTTGTCTCTTATGAACACTACACTCTCTCCCTTATCTACTTGTGTGCTGGATCTTCGTACAATGCTAAGATGTTAAACTATATATTTATCTACCGCCATGAATATTCCAAGACGCAACACATCTCAAAGATTATATCAAATATTTATTTATTTAATAGGATATCTAAACGCTGTCACTCCAAAAGGAGTACTTGACGTCATAACTAATTACTAATACATTAGCGGAACCTAGCGAGGTCACCCACCAGCATCGGGCTCACACTTGCTTTGCCCCACTAAAAAGGTGAGGCCGTAATAGGTGGGATTCGAACCCGAAATGAGGCGTTACCAACCGTGCTCAACCACCAAGTCATATATAATATAACATAAGAAAATAAATAATCATAGCTAAGTATATATATAGCTTGGTGCTCAGATGCCATTTTTATTTATCCATAAGAAACAAAACAGTTATTTTTTTGTTTATACTTGAGAGTTAAGCAAAAATAATTATTTGTTAGTAGCTTTCATCCTGAAATAGCGATTTTAGTTAAAGATATTTCATTAAAAATAAAGAATTAACCAAAAAATTTGACAAGGCTTCCATTCGATTAAGGCATCATTTGAGATGCCTTTTTTATAGCTTGTTTAAAAAAAATTATAAAAATTTTTTGAACTAAAAAAGTGATATTAAAAAATTGCTTCAAAAATAATAAAAAATCTATCCCAAACACGGCGTAAGACAACTTTTTTGGTGTTTTATTTTTCAAACTACGATCACAATTTCTTTTTGGTCACTTTTTTTGTTGCTTTCAAAAGCTTTTATACTAAAAGCTTACTTTCTATAATAAATTTAGACTTTATTTAAGGCAACTTTTCTAATAATTTTTAAAGCAATTTTTTAATACAAAAAATTTTACTACTAAAAAACAGATTTACAAAATAGCAAAAAAAAAAGGTTCCAAATAAAACCTTAAACTGATTTGAGACAACTTTTGAACACTATTTTTTACTGATTAAATAAAAAAACTAGAAAAATACTTCAGAAAAAAATTAGGAAGATATCCCACATAAAGCAGGCAGGAGATAGAAAAATAAGCAAGCTATTTGTTTTCCTTCTGGAAAACTTAGATGTCAAAACACAAATTTCATATCAAAAATTTCAAATTTTAACAAAAAAGTTTTAAAATCTTAATGAAACTTAAAAAGATAATAAAGCAACAGAATTACAAGTTCCTGATCGAAGTATCAGACTATTAGAGTCAGAAAAGCTTCTGTAATGCTTTAAGAAAACTCCAGCATTGCTGCATTTGCTAGTAGTAAATATAACAGCATTAGAATTAAGGAAAATTCTCTTTTTAAGTAGCAAAATTAGGAACTCCTGTAATAACTTGTAAAAGAAGTGAAAGAAAAAAAAAACTTTAGAGTTCGGATCGAAGTTTAATTGCTATGATCTGAAGGCGCCAATTCACCAATCCTGTCCACCGGAGAACTGCAAAAAAGGAAAGAAATAATAAAATTTTCACTTCAAAATGAAGTCATATCAAACATATCAAAACAATAATTCATCTCCAACTGAACTCTATGTTTAACAAAAAAAAAAAGTATATATTCTTGTCTTTGTTTTATATTTATTGGCGTCGGGTGAATAGCACAACACCAATATTGACATCGCACTGTTTACAGCCAAGATAAAATGGCAAAATACGTTTCCAATCGCCATTCAGGTGGACGCTCGCCAAAGTTGCAAACAAGAGAATCGCGTTCAGTTGGAGTCTTGGAGATGCCTTAAGAAAACCATACAGCTAAATGAACAAATGGAATGCATATCAAATCGTTAATAAGCTAATGTTTCACTTTTCACTTATTTTATAAGTGAATACGAAAGAGTTTTTAAATTTTGATTTCTTATTGCATCATACAATTTAATGAATTTCATTAATATTTCAAATGAGCTTTCAGCGTAGTAAATGATGGTCATGCAACCAATTGGCGATTTTCCTACCAGAAGAGACAGCCAAATCAATTATGCGTATTCACAAACGCAAGAAGTGTTCAAAAGCTCTCTATCATGCAGCCTAATGTGCACGTAAATTTCAAAATTTCAAAGAAAATTAGCAGAACTATATCCATCTTAGAAGAAGACAAGATCCAACTTAGGCTTCATTTGGGACGGCTTTCTTACTGCTTCTTAAAGCAACTTTCTAATACAAAATTAAAAAATTTTGTACTAAAAAGCTGCTTTAAAAAGCATAAAAAAAAGTTGTCCCAAACGAAGCCTTAGTCAGTATGGGTTTGTTTGGTTTTTAAAGAATTTGAGGAAATGTGAAGTTATTTTATATCATAATTTTATTTACAACTCGATGCCCAATACTGATAGGAAATAGATGAAAATTTACCAGATTATGCTTGTGAATCACATATCCTCCATTTTCTTATTTTGCACTCGATTACTTATCAATCAAAGGAGTGAAAACTAGTTTTAATACAATTCTATTGCCAGTTTCATTTCCTTCTCATCTACTTTCATTCAGTTCCTTGAGACAAAACAGAGCCTAATGTTTACCAATATTTTGCATATAGAGAACTTTAGCTTTCCAAACATTCTTTACAGTTATAATAATTATAAAACAAAT